CCCAGTGGATTGGCTTGTGTTTTCCTTGGAATGATTACTGCTAATTTTTGGGTATCATTGATACCCACCCAACTCCCTTGCATTAAAGCTCCCTGATTTTTTCCATTATGCCACCTCAGCCAGCCATTCAAATGCTACAACCTAGAATTTATCATTACTATCATTTTTGACATCTCAGTTTTAAATATCTGCTCTCTGATGATTACTTCCTATTTCTACCAACTCACTTATTCTACTGTTCTTAATTCAACAATTTTCACAGTGCGTTGAGACTTGTCCTTTACCAGCCTTCTCTTACCTCCTTTTCCTCATGCTGTAATGATTTCCTTGCACACATTTTTAACTTTCTTGCCCTGTTTTCTGCTTAACCTGGCAGTAGAGCAAGTCTGGCCAAAACTGTGTTTCTACTTGTATCACAATCATTCCTCTTAAGCCTGGGAAGTGCCAGGAACCTAAAACTACTCTCTTGTCAATTCTCATGACTGATTCATTCTTTGCTCTCTTTAGGCTGGCTTTCCCTTATCCATGTACGTTAGTTACTTCCCTGTGGTTGACGAATTTATCTTTCCTCTTTGTGAGAGACTAACCTAATCAAATTGAACGTCTCTTGGACCTTATTCCATATTCAGTAGAGAATTAAATTGACTTAGCTTGGGAAGAATGTTTATCCCTGGTACTGTAAACTATGGCCAGAGGAACAAGGACCCTACTGTTATATAAGCATTGCTGCTGGGGCCCACCCTTCAGAATTTGTGGGTAGTAGAAATGAGTGTGGTATTACTTCTTTCGAGAAGTAGTCATAAGTTAGGCAGACACTCTCCACCCCACCCCCAAAAAAACTGCTTAGCTAATCAATATTTAAGACAGAGAGAAGTCCTTAATCTGGAGTTCATGAGTATCCAAAGAGAATCTCTGAATACCCTAAAATTGTTTGAAATATTTTTGTGTGTTTACATATGTGCCTTTTAATGGAGAGGACGGCCACAGTTAATATCTTCAAAGGGAGCTCTGACCAATGGACTCTGCTATAGGGTTTTTTTTTTTTTTTTAGCAATAATAACCTGTGATTCCATAGATTTAGAAATCTTAACAGTGAAAGGTGAAGGAGAAATGGTTTTTGCTATTATATTTTGAATTCAAGATTATTAAAGAGATGAAGAAAATATAATTTTTAATAAAAAGTGAGTTCTTTAAAACTTGAGCTTGACAAATGCATATTGTAAATCAGTGTTTTCTCTCTATGTATGTTTTAGATCAACAGAGGAGAATATTTTTGCCACCTCCACCTGGAATTAGAAAATGTGTCATATCCACCAATATTTCTGCAACATCTTTGACAATAGATGGAATCAGGTACAGCTTTTGAAATTTTTCTTAAAGTCACGGAAGCCACTTAGCTAATTATTGCTGAACATTTTTTTTTTTTTAGATAAAAAAAATTTTAAAAAGGGACTACAGGCATGTGCCACCATGCCTGGCTAATTTTTATATATATGTATTTTTAGTTGTCCAGCTAATTTCTTTCTATTTTTAGTAGAGACGAGGATCTCGCTCTTGCTCAGGCTGGTCTTGAACTCCTGAGCTCAAACAGTCCGTCCGCCTTGGCCTCCCAGAGTGCTAGGATTACAGGCGGTTACTGAACATTAGATAAACATTACTGAGTTTTTCTCTCTGTGTCTTCCCCTAATTATGGGATTTGTGGAGCAGCTCTCCTGAATAAATGACCTCTGTAATTTTCTGTTTCCAGCATAAGCAAAAGCCATTAAATAGCATGTTTCAGAATGTTGTCTTCTGTGAATGATAAGACTTAGGACTCTTCCTTAATTCTTTATCTGACTTGTTTTCCATTTAATTGGCTTCAAATGGCATGTTAAGGGCTAGCTGGAATTAGATTCTGAACCTGTCAGAATGGTCCAAAGCTGACTTTAAAGTTTATTTTTTTATTGAGGTGAATTTACATAACATGCAATTAATCATTTAAAAGTGAACAGTTAAGGGGTATTTAATACATTTACAGTATTGTGCAATACTACTAGGACTATCTATTTCTAAAACATTGTGTTACCCCAACATAAACCCTTACCCATTACGCAGGTAATCCACATTCTCCTTTCCACACTACTCCCTGGCAACCATTAGTCTTACTGTTTCAATATATTTTCTATTATGGGTATTTCATATAAATGGAATCATATAATATGTGAACTTTTATGTTTGGTTTCTTTCACTTAGCATATTTTTGAGGTTCATCCACATTGTAACATGTATCAGTACTTCATTCTTTCTTTATGGCCGAATAATATTCCATTTTATATTTACTGAAATTTGTTCTTCCATTCATCCATTAATGATTAATGGGCATCGAGGTTGTTTTTACCTTTTAGGTATTATTAATAGTGCTGCTATGAACATTTATCAATAAATATTTATTTGATTATTTGTTTTCAGTTCTTTTGGGTGTATAGTTAGTAATGGAGTTGCTGGGTCATAAAGTAATTTTGTGTTTAACTTTTTGAGGAACTCCCAAACCATTTTCTACTTTGGCTGAACCATTTCACATTCTTACCAGCATCACATAAGGGTTCCAATTGCTTGACTTTCATGTTTTACACTTAACATAAAAGGCATTGTGTTGTTGTTAAATTGCTAGAAAAGGAAAACCCAAAATGTTCAAAAATTAACAAGTCTTCTCTTATTTTCCAGAAATTTAACTTGCTTTCATTCTCCTTAGATATGTGGTAGATGGTGGCTTTGTGAAGCAGTTAAATCACAACCCCAGATTAGGATTGGACATCCTGGAGGTGGTTCCAATTTCAAAGTAAGTCTCTTGGTCAAGCCTTTTTGTTCAAAGAACAGTTGATTAGTTAATTTCTAGTTGGTTTGGGGATAGGAAGTAAATTACTTGGGAAACCCACAAAACATTTTGGGGACTTTTTGTTTTTTTTCCTTCTGTAGGAGTGAGGCATTACAGCGAAGTGGCCGAGCTGGCAGGACTTCCTCAGGAAAATGCTTTCGGATATATAGTAAAGATTTTTGGAACCAGTGTATGCCTGACCATGTGATCCCTGAGATTAAGAGAACTAGTTTGACATCTGTAGTTCTGACCTTAAAGTGCCTTGCCATACATGATGTCATAAGGTATGTGGAAATTTTGAAAAAAAGAAAAATTTGTTAGGTTAAGCCATGATATTCCTTAAAAATTCTTTTGCAGTATTTGATTCATACATCCCTGAGAATTGAGGCTAACCTATTTTCAAGGTTGGTTTTCTTATTGGTTGCTTTTCAGCCAAACCAAAATAAAAGGCTTCTTTGCATTTCTTTACTGGGAAGTGATCCTTTCTTCATGTTTTAACCTTGGCTAGATAGAGGGGCCTCAAGCTGATGTTTATGCGGATCACTTGGTGATTACTGTTTATTTGTAATGAAAGGTATTAATGATCCTAATTTCAGTCAGAAAGTGTTTTTGTGTAGCTTTTTTGGTATGGCCAGCATTGTACTGTTTACCATGAAAGACAGAGTAGTACTTTTTGCTTTTACTGAGCTTGAGTTATATTGGGGAAACAAGGTTGAGACACATAAAGCAGAGAATAGAACAACTATTAAATTAGTCAAATGTTAATCTATGTAATTTATTGGTATAGGACAGAATATTGTTGTAGGGGAAGGAAATTTCATAGAGTGAGTAATGAAGGAAAGTACTGTCGTATTCTTTATTTTGGTCTGGATTGGTTGGGAATCTAAACATGTCAGAAACCTTGGGAAAAGGTGACCATAAATTCTTCTTTTTTTTTTATTTCAGCATATTATGGGGGTACAGATGTTTAGGTTACGTATGTTGCCCTTGCTCCCCCTCCCCCCAAGTCCGAGTTTCAAGCATGTCCATCCTTCGGATGGTGCGCACTGCACTCTTTGTGTATGCATATACCTGTCCGCTCCTCCCCTTACCCCCCTCCTCGCTGACTGACATCCAATAGATGTTATTCTTACATGTACACTTATGTGTTGATCAGTTAATACCAATTTGACATAAATTCTTTAAATTCATAATAATAAATGATTACTAGGTACACCCAAATATGTATTGTATACTCTTGGAAAGCCAATTTCAAAATGTTTTAGAATTATAAAACTAGAGATTTTCTAAATGAGAATATGTAGATCCTAGAAAGAGGAAAGCGTGTAATAAATGAAATTCTAACTGTAGTCATAAGTGATACCAATGAGAGAGAAGGAAAGTGCCATGAACAGAGCAGCATCTAACCAAGAATGAATATATATTAGAAAAAATAGGAACAATAATTACTTAATATCATCTGCACTGAGTTATTTTTCTATTTTAAGTCTTAAGATCTAGGATGTACTAAAAATCCACAAAATATGAGACACCAAAAAAACTCGACTTTCTTCTTCTTAAGTTGTATGTAAAATAAGGAAAGGTGAACCTAGTGTTTAGGATAGATGGTATAGTATTTGTAGATGACAAAAAGAAAATGGAGATTCTCAATTACTATTTTGCTTTCCTTTTCCATTCTTCCATCAAGAATGATTTTAAAACTGGAAAGGCAAGAGCAAGTCTGAATAAGGAGGAATCGAAGACTAAGATGGATTAGGAAATAATGAGAGAAAACCTAACTACCATAAATGAATTTGCCTTGAGCGTTTAGATATTATTTCCATGGTACTAAAAGAACTCGCAGATTTAATGTCAGAGCTATTGTGAACCATCTATGAGAAATTATGCAGAATAGGTTACCAAGAAAATTGTGAGAAAGGCAAATGTCCTGATTTTTTCATTTACTGAAAAGTGTAGATTCTGGAAACAACTGGCCAGTAAGTTTAACATTAATTCCTAGCAAATTCTAGTATAGTTTATTAAAAAATGGTTTAAGAGAATTTAATGATGATTTATAATAAGTAAGTATGCATTCAAATAGTTCACAATGAATATGTCATTATAAGCTGTTTCCTTTTCAGTTTGAGTTCAGAACCAATGGGTGCTCCACAAGAATTTATTGAATGTTAACCTAATGTACTTTGTTTTCCACACAGTATTTAACAAAATTGCATTTGATATCTTTATGAATAAATAAGTCATCTATAGATGACAATACTGCTGAATAGACTATGGTTGCCAAATAGCCAAATCCAAAAAGCATCAATTAATTGCTTAGTGTAGCCTAGATGGAAGTTTTACTGGTAGTATGCTGAACTTAGCTGTTTTCTGACAAACATTGTAATGATACTGAATAAAAATATTGAAGTCTTGATTCTCATCGGTAGATGATTAAAACTTAGCTTTAGAGTGATCTTAATAGGCCAGAAATGTGAGCAAAAACCAACAAGGTATAAATCTTATAGGATACATCTTTTTTTTTTTTTTTAAGAGACAGGGTCTCACTCTGTCACCCAGGCTGGAGTGCAGTGGTGCAATCATAGCTCATTGTAACCTTGAACTTGTTGGCTAAAGAATATCCTCTCACCTCGGCCTCCTACACAGCTGTGACTATAGGCATGCACCACCATGCCTCACTAATTTTTAAATTTTTTTTTTTTGTAGAAATGGGGTCTTGCTATGTTGCTTGAACTCTTGGGCTCAGGCAGTCCTCCTGCCTCAGCCTCCCAAAGTGCTGGGATTATAGATGTGAGCCACTGCACCCAGCCTAACAGCCTAAGATACATCTTATATCCTGTGTTTTGAATGCCCAATAAGGAAATACATGTGGGAAAGATCTGAAATTATCAGATCACCACAAACTTAATATGAGCTTGCATTTATGGTTTTATTTAAAAAGAACAATAAAAACAATCCCACTGGCATAGACTTTATTTATATTAGTAAACTGTAATGTCTATACAACAGGGAATCATAGCATTTCTGTCCTGTGTTGGTTACTCAACGATTGGAATTCAATTTTGGATATCATCAAGTTTAATGAGAAGTTTGACGAACTAGAGTGTTTTGCAGTGGTCCCCAACGTTTTTGACACCAGGGACCAGTTTCATAGAAGACAGTTTTTCCACGGACCGGTGGTGGGGTTGGGAGGAGCTCAGAGAGATGGGAGTGCCTGTAAATACAGATGAAGCTTCGCTTGCTCGCTCGCTCGCTCGCCACCGCTTACCTACTGTGCACTGTGGTTCCTAGGTTTCATGGGCGATGATTTTCCCACGGGTCGAGGGGTGTGTGTGCACAGCAGAGCCCTGTGGCTTGGTTCTTAACAGGCCACAGACCAGTAACAGTCCACGGCACAGAGTTTCGGGATCTCAGTTCTAGAGGATGGTAATTAGATACAGTGGGTCTCACAGAAACCAAATAATTTATGAAGAGTACTTGACACAATTAATAATTGCTGGAATCAAGGGAGAAAAATTACTGCAGTTTTTAAAATTTGCAGTATTTCACAAAAAATAGTTTTTACTGTTATGTAGAGGAGGAAGCTGACTAGTTTGATACTGCTCTAGCACAGGGTGGCAAACTACATTCCAGTCTGTTTTTGTAAATAAAATATTAGAATATAGCCATGCCCATTTGTTTACATATGTCTGCTTTTGCTATAATAGCAGAGTTAAGTAATCATGACAGAGACCAAATGGCCTGCAAGCCTAAACTATTTACTCTCTATCCGTTTATAGAAAACGTTAGCCAATTCTTGCTCTAGAAGCTACCAGGACCTATTGTTAGAAAAGCTAACAATAGAACAGTCTAAGAAATTTTTGTTTGTTTGTTTGTTTATTTTAAAATAGACCTGTCAATCCTGGAATGGACATTTATATAAGGTATTGCAGTTTTTGTCCTTTATTGGACCTTTTTCAAGGTGAGAAATTGGAGTAGGGCCGGGCGCAGTGGCTCACGCCTGTAATCCTAGCTCTCTGGGAGGCCGAGGCAGGCAGATTGTTTGAGCTCAGGAGTTCGAAACCAGCCTGAGCAAGAGCGAGACCCCGTCTCTACTAAAATTAGAAAGAAATTATCTGGACAACTAAAAACATATAGAAAAAATTAGCCAGGCATGGTGGCGCATACCTATAGTCCCAGCTACTCGGGAGGCTGAGGCAGGAGGATCGCTTGAGCCCAGGAGTTTGAGGTTGCTGTGAGCTATGATGATGCCACGGCACTCTAGCCCGGGCAACACAGTGAGACTCTGTCTCAAAAAAAAAAAAAAAAAAAAAATTGGAATAGATGATTTTTCATCTCAAGATTTAAGGTGGAAACAATAACCCACTGCAGATCATATTAAGTAATTATTATTCCTAGTTTTTAAAAATATATATTCATGCTTGATTATATGCCACTCTGCTGTCCTTTGTGAATATTTTTGTTAATTTTATTATGTATGTTCATTAATAAAATTATGTAATTTAAGAGAATGTCATTTTTTCAGGAGGTGTATGCTGAAATAATTTGGGCATGAACAAGTGGCATTGTAGTTGCAACTTGTTTTCAGATAGTTCAGAAAATATTAATAAGTACATACACAGGCATACGTAAATGACAAAAATATGGCAGAATTAATTGAATGTACTTGCCCTTTTATCTAAAAGCATTTTGAGGTACTATTGAACAATTTAGCCACTTTCGCTTAATTTTTCTCCACTGTTTTATAAAAATTTGGGAAAAAAATGTGAACTGCGGAAGAGAGTAGACTTGACATTAGCTGTGAAGCATGGGGCAGGATTAAACTAAATAGAAAGGAATGGTAAGAGTGTTCCAGCTAAGGGGAGTAAAAAAAAAGTGCTGCTTGAATTAGAGGAGTGTGATTCAGAAAAAATTATTTCCTCTTTTGCTGAATGCTGGTCATGATCATAGAATTTTGTTTGTTTGTTTTTTATTTCATTTTTATTTTTTTAGAAATGAGGTCTTGCTATGTTGACCAGTCTGGTTTTGAACTCCTGGTTTAAAGTGGTCCTCCCGCCTGTCCTGCCTCAGTGCTGGGTGGCATGAGCTACCATGCTCAGCCCATAGAATGTTTTAAAAAAAGAAGAGGAGCCCTTGAAAAATGAAACTAAAACCTTTTAAAGAAACATTCATCATATGTGTATAAAATTCTACCATGTTAAAGGAACGGCCAGTCATTTCATGTTTTATTTAAACACACAGGTTTCCCTATTTGGATCCACCTAATGAGAGACTTATTTTGGAAGCTCTTAAACAGCTTTACCAGTGTGATGCTATTGACAGGTAAAATTTAAAAACCACAACAAAAACAGATATTGATCTCTTTTAAACAGAGTTCTAAACATACCTTCCTTTATCAGTAGAAAATTATTTGTTTAAGTTGGATGGATTATTTTACTCAAAATTAGAATTTGTCCTGAGTCTTTCTTCACAATTTTGATTTAAAAACTATACCATAAAACCATTTTTGTTTAATACTGGTGTTATTTAACAAGTAATTTCTGGGTACCATTTCATTGCCAAGCTTTATGCTGAGTACATAAAAATTATAAGAGGGCCATAGTCCTTGTTCTCATGATTGTGTGAGGGGAGAAGTTTTGATAATTATCATTCTCTCATTTCTTCAGGACATTCTTTATGCTTCAGTGGCATGTTTGTATCTTTTATTATACTGCTTTATTCTGCCTCATTGTTTAGTTTTTGGATGTATTAAAGGCTTTTGATAGTAGGGATTTATCATCTTTATGTTTCTCTTATCAATGACCACAGTTTTTTATTTTCTTATATTGAATTGAATTCCTGGAGGTGATTCAAGGTATTCTAAATTATATCAGTTTTTTTCTGAATGATGAACATTGCATTTACACTCTCCCAATGTAGAAAGACTTGGGAACCTTTTCTTTCTATTAAGGAGTGGCCATGTGACCAGATTGGGTTTGTCTATGGTGGAGTTTCCTCTCCCTCCACATCTTACATGTGCAGTAATAAAGGCTGCTTCTCTGGATTGTGAAGATCTACTGCTTCCAATAGCAGCAATGTTGTCTGTGGAAAACGTCTTCATTAGACCTGGTAAGAAGTTTATTGATAAGTTGTTGTTTATTGTTGTTGTGTTTTTGTTTTTCGAGACAGAGTCTTGCTCTGTTGCCCAGGCTGGAGTGCAGTGGCCTCATCATAGTTCACTGCAACCTCAAACACCTGGGCTCAAGTGTTCCTTCTGCCTCAGCCTTCTGAGTAGCTGAGACTACAGGCATGTACCACCACTCCTGGCGTTTTTTTTTTTTTTTTTTAGAATCTGGGTCTTACTGTGTTGCCCAGGCTGGTCTCAAACTTCTGGCTTCAAAAATTCCTGGCCTCAAGCAATCCTCCTGCCTTGGCCTCCTAAAGTGTTTGGATTATAGACATAAGCTACCCCACCCAGCCTTTTTTTTTTTGATTGATAGACTTCATTTCTTAGAGCACTTTTAAGTTTACAGAAAGATTGAGAAGAAAGCACAGAGGGTTCACATTTATCCCCTCCAGCAATTTTCCTCTGTTATTGACATCTTTCTTTGTGCGGTATTGCAACTTTTGAGCCAATATTGATACATTATTATTAACTAAAGCGATCACTGTGTTGTATATGCTATAGGTTTTGACAAATGTGTAATTACACATATTCACATATTCAATGACATTACCGTATCATTCAGATTAGTTTAACAGCCCTGAACATCCCCTGTGCTCCCCTTACTCATCCCTACATCCCTTCCTACAAACCCTTGGCAACCACTACTCTTTTTTACTGTCTCCATAGTTTTGCCTTTTCCAGAATGCCATATAGTTGGAATCATACAATACATAACCTTTTCAGATTGGCTTCTTTCACTTAGCAATATGCATTTAAGGTTTCTCCATTTCTTTTCATGGCACGATAGCTTATTTCTTTTTATCACTGAATAGTATTTCGTTGTATGGAATTTGTTTATCCATTTACCTATTGAAGGACATGTTGATTGCTTTTTCATGTTTTGGCAATTATGAATAAAGCTGCTGTAAATATCTGTGTACAGGTTTTTATGTGGACATAGTTTTCAACTCGTTGCTGGATCATATGGTAAGAGTATGCTTAGTTTTATAAGAAACTGCTAACTTATCTTCCAACATGGCTATATTGTTTTGCATTCCCACCAGCAATGAATCTGAGAGTTCTCTTGCATCACATCATGGTGGTGTTAGTGTTTTGGATTTTGGCCATTCTACCTGGTGTGTAGTGGTACCTCATTGTTGTTTTAATTTGTAGTTCCCTGATGCCATAAGATGTTGAGCATCTTTTCATATACTTATTTGCCATCTGTACATCTTCTTTGGTGAGGTATCTATTCAGGTTTTT